TAATTTTTAAATAAATATATTTATGTAATTTTAAACATTTTATGTGTATTGGGGTGTCAAAATGCAATTGAAATTGTTTGAAAAAAAAAAACTTTAATCTTATGAATACAAAGTGTAACTTGTGGTGAATTGTTTAGCTTAGCAAGATTAACGCTTATGTTCATAAAGTTAGAGTTTACGAACAATTTAAATTGCATTTTGACATTTGTATATATATATATGTATAAATAGAAAAACGGTGGAAATATGACTGTGAAGATGAAAGGCGACGGAAATATGGTCGTGAAGAGGAAAGGCGGTGGAAGTATAATTGATCAACGCCCACTATTTTCTAGCGATGGAGAGTAAGTTTAATTTTAGTTTTTATTTTAAGTTTTATTTTATTTTCTTAAGGGTTTAATCAGGCATTTTTACGTAGCTATCAATGTGCAATGGATATTTTGCTTTTCAGAACTCTGTACATAGTGTGGAAGAATGTCATAAGGGTATACAGCACGCAAACGGGAGACTTTGTACGAGAGTTTGAACCCTTGGATTATAGAATTACCGGAGTAATACCATATCCAGATAATGCCAGTGTTATTATTGGTTGTACCGAAAACGGCGAATTGTATTTCTGGAATTGCCAAAGTGGAATAATTACTAAGAAATTAGTAGGAGCTTAAAACATTATTTTGTTTGCTAATGTTTCTTTTATTTATAAAAGAAACATCTTTAATATATATTCAAATTATATAATACATATGTACTTGTTATTAATATTTAACTTTTCATTCTTTGATCTCTTATTTAATTTCTTTCATGTTATTACAAACTTATAAGTATTAAATGATATTGTGTTTATATTTTTACAGCAATTAAAATTTCTAGCAAATGACAAAGTAAAAATTAAAAGCTTTCACATTGTAAAACACAGAACAGCTCAGGGAAATGAAATATGTCAAACGTTAATAACTCATCTCTCTGAATGTGGAAACAAAATATATGTACTTTTATTTGATATAGAAACTGGAACACTTATAAAATCAATATATATCTTGTAAATATTTTTTATTTTCTTTCTATTAAGTTTTGTTTGATAATTGCATAATTTTTGATAATTTATTATCTACTTTTTTTAGTGCTAAATCACAAGAGTACTTTACTGATATAATTGGGAATTATGGAGAGAATTTAATAGCACTTTTACATGACACAGATTTACATATATTAAATCCAGCTAGAAATTTAGTTGATACAATGTAAGATATTTTGGGATTATGTGTAATTATTTATATGTGTGATAGAATATTATATATTTAAAATACTTAATTTTGATGTAGGCACAAGACTGGTAAAACTGGTAGAATACCTACTTGTATAGCAGGACATCCAGAAGAAGAATGTGTTGCCACCGGAGATTCTACAGGTCGTGTATTAGTATGGAGAAATTTATTTCAGCCTAGACCATATACAGCCGTTTTTCACTGGCATACATTACCGGTTACAGAAATAGTGTTTAGCAAGTCAGGTAATAGGCATTGAAAATTTATATTCGCAAAGTATTTTTCATAAAGCAGTAATTTAATATGGCACAATATAACACATTTCTCTGTTTTACAGGCGGCCATATGTATACAGGTGGTGGTGAGTGTGTATTGGTAAAATGGATTTTAGCAAATCCTCAACATAAATCATTCCTTCCACGATTACCGGCGCCTATTAAACATCTTACTATTGCACCAGATAATTTATATGTTGCTGTATCGACTTTAGATAATGGTAAAATTTTTTATTATAAAAATTCGAATTAATATAACGAGTTTATGACGACTAATCATGTTTTCATTATAAGGTATTGTTATTGTAAATCCTCAAAAAAAATTAACATCAGTGATACAAAACTTTACGTGGGGTGTTGCTTCGTCATCCAAAGATCTATTTCCTGCGGGACTTATCGTTGATCCAAGAACAGGTAGTCTTGTTCTAAATAGTCGTACTGGACACGTACAATTTTATAACATTCATACAAAAAATCTGTTATACAATGTGAGTAGATTATTATATATTAAAAGCAAAGCAAAGATATAAAAAGAAAATTTGAATAAATAAGTAAAAAATTGATAAAACTTCGACAAATTTTCCAGATTAATATAACTGCTCAAAATTTTCTGACTCAAGAACGTGATGTAATTATTGTAAATACAGAAGTTACAAAAATAGCTCTAAATCATGATGGTACATGGATGGCAACAGTTGAAGAACGAAATGATAAAGTTTCATCTATAGAAGTTAGATTAAAATTCTGGCTCTACGATTTAAAAAAGCAAATGTAAATATATATAAATATTATATTTGTTAAAACACTGCAATATTAATATATAACTTATCAACATTCTAGATTTGTATTAAATACATCCATTGAATTACCTCATGAAAATGGAATAAATGCACTACATTTTCAACCAGATACGACATTTGACGATGGAGATTGGTTAGCTGTTACCACTGGGAGAGATAATAAATTTAAATTATGGAATTTGAGAAAATCATCCATTGTAGAAGGTATATATATCTAATTATCTATTTTGGGTAATAAAATAGCTTCATTAAAATTTAGCGAAATATATGTATATCATTATTTGTCATAATTGTATTTATTATAGATAAAGAGACAAAACATTGGTATTGTTACGGAGTTGGAGATTATCGCAATCTAGCTGTTACAGATGCGGGTTTTTCAGTTGATGGCTCATTATTAGCTGTTGGTTTTAATTCTACCTTAACTTTATGGCTGCCCGAAACTTGCGAATTAAAATCAAGTCTTACACATTCTCAATATAATGAACCAATATCGTAAGTCAAGAAAAATAAAATACATCCTATAACTATTTTAATAAGTACATTCTTAGCTAAACATGGAAAGCGATCATTTATAAAGGCATAATTGTAAAATGTTTACAATAGACGAATAGAATTCGGCAAACACGAGGCCTGTCATCTTGTTGTGGTTGTGTCTCAGCAGCACATAACAGTTTGGAACATTTTAACTCTTGCTATAACATGGAGTGTACCCTTGAACGTCGTGAGTCTCACATGCGACTTAAAATCTACATATATGGCAGCATTTACATCTGACAATTCATGTATGTTATACAGTATATAAATGCGTC